TATGTTCTTCCTTAATCTCTTCCACATCTTGGCTGGGTGGCGCATCTGGCATTGCCTCCGCGTCTTCGGCCACCACCTCCTGACTACCAAGACTTGAAGGAATGACTTCCTCCTTCTTTGATAATTCTGCCCTCCTCCTGCGTCGCTTAGACCGTGTGTTCTTACCAGAGGTCTTGTGCTTAGCAGAAGGAGTATCCACATCAGCTTGGTCTTCATTAGTCTGTTGACTGATGGAGGGTGAGCCGGGTGGTGAAGAAAACTGCCATTCAACGATCGAGTCTCTAGCCTTTGATCGAGTTTGTATTTCAGATAACAGAGGGTTGCGTCTCGGGTCCGGCGGTGATGAAGGTGGGTCGTTCAAGCCCTCAAGATGAAGAGCTTGGCCACGTCGCGGAGTGGGTGTCAGATTGATGAACTCGTCGTAGGAAGCTGTGCGTTCAGGGGTAGTTTCCAGTCTGCTGGGCTTTGGTGTCTCAGCATCCTTGGAGCTCTCCTCAATCGCAGCTTGTGCTCGAGTCCGTGGGCTCGATCGGATACCGGGATACAGGCCTGCATTTTCTTCTTGTCGCTCACGGACCTCCCTCTGCCTTTCAGTGAGATGTTGAGACTCCTCGACCAACGGTGATGAGACAATTGGAGCAAATTGAATCTGTGAGTTGTCGTGGCGAAGACGGGGTGTAGCTGTTCGCTTAGCTGGTTTTGTCTTTGTAGACTCAGGGGTGGCATCTCGGCGGCGCTTTCTAGTCGTCGCACCCCTAAGACTCATCTTCGATATGGATGGTACAGGTGAGGCTGCTTGTTCAACGCCTTGCCCCGATGACTTAGCAGATGATAGAGCGACGAAGCTCAAATCTTCCTGAGTATCGACAAAGGTTTGCGCTTGGGCTCCGAACTCGCCACTGGAATGTTCCATGCCAGGGAACGAGACATCAACTCTTGGCCGTAAAGAGGCTATGGTCGACTTGAGACCTTCAGAGCAGTCCAAGCTCTCTTCATCCTTTACTAGAGCGTTCCACGTCTCTGCCATCTTGTTTACGGCATGACGATGTTTACTTCTAAAACCTGCAGCGACAAGAGGCTCGACTGTGTTGAGGACCTTGTCGTCCAATCGACCGAGTGTCAATAACTGGCCACAAATGTTGTCCCACAGAGTCCGCACCTAGAGGTAATTAGCTTGTAGAAGAGTGCAACGTTGGAATGACTTACAGATCCAGAGACAAGAGAATCACTACGCAATATCTTAAGCGCCTTTTCATCCTGAATCCATGGAATAAGTCCTGTTTGTAACTTGGGGAGGGTTTTGATGCCATTTTGCGAAAAGGATCCAACAATGAAAGCATTGACGGTCTCAAAATAGGCCACCATCTTTTGATCGTTGCATTCGGCTTCATTTTCATAGAAGTATTTCATGCTCTGACCTTGAAGCTGGTAAAGATATTGGAACGGGTCAAATGAGGAGGATCGTGATGCTGTGGGAGGTGCACCCCAAAGTCGTCGCCGAGCAGCCTCGACAGCCTGACGATCTCGTGGAAGTTTGGCAATCTTGAATAGCGCAATGGCTACCGCCAGCGCCATCTGGTTTGGTCTTTCAGAATCCTCAAAGAAGTTGTCCGTAACAATCTTGGCGAGAGGCTCTACAAGACCAAGAGCTCGACCTGCATCTCCAGACTCCTGTGCGATGTGGTCGGATAACAAGTTGAAAAGAGAGAACCACTGTTCTTCAGGGAGTGTGGGGTGCGAAACAAGTCCTCGTTCGAGAAGCGATACTATCTCCCGGTATTCAGGTCCAAGTAATCTCTCACTGGTGGGTGGTAGTGAGCCGGATGGCGATGGGTTCTGATCTAGCAAGGTACGGATGTTCTGAGCAGCGAGAACCCATGGACCGTATGGTGAAAGAGCGTCTCGCGGCAAGAGTCGGAGCATCTCTCTAGACAGCTCCACTCGAGCTCTTGAAGATTTGCCTTGGAAGAATGGCTCAAAGACAACCAAGAAGCACTCGGCAAGATCTTCATCGTCAGCCAATCCTGGTGGTTTGGAACAAAGAATAGAAAATAGGTGATAAAGCGGCGTCTGAACAGTGCCATTTGACTTGTCAGTTCGATCAATCCGGCTAGGAGTTGCAGCAGGCTCAAAGGTATTAGCAAGAGACATGGATAGCTTCTTCTCGGTGAATGGGAGGAGCCCAAGGTTGCGGACAAGGACGTCGACATAATGCCGGACACTCGACAAATATTTTGCACCTGCAGACTCAGACCCTTGGGGCAACCCGGTCGACCACACCTTGGACAACAAATCAAAAGCCTGAGCGATGAATCTCGCTGTCTCGTCGGTCACCTTGATATCCTTTGCCGAGGCGACAGCAATAGAACCAACGAACGCTTGCCAGAGCCTATAGGCTAAACTTTCGGTATTAGCCAAGTCGTGGAATTTCTTCTCTAGAATTGGTCCAACAAGGCCAAAGATCTTCTCAGAATTCCGACGAGCCCATTTTGGGTCGATTGAAGGCAGCTCCTCAGGGCTTACAGGAGCGACGTCCTTGATCCGTTCGTCTTTCCAGCTTCTTGGGGTCGAAACATCGAGGAGCCCGGTCACAATTCGGGTCGCTTGCGTTACCGAGTCAGCAGAAAACTCGGCTTGCGCATCAACCTGAACTAGTTGTTGCGTGATAGGTGCAAGGATAGTATCCCAGGCAGCGTCGATCCATGTGACATCTTGACTAGGTCGAAAGGTATAGTAACACAGGTTGCAAATGCCACCCATCACTGTTCTGCGAAGCTTCATGGCTTCCTCTGACTGCTTCGAATTGAATTTGCGTCGGAGTTGGCTTGCCAGGGGTTGTGCCATTACACCCAGAGATTTAGGGGGCATCTTGTTGCTGGTAATTGAAAGATAGACATAGCGATTCCAGGCGTAGTTGGCTTCCAGTTTGGTCTGCAAGTCAGTGCAGTTGAATGAGTCCTGAGCAATCTTGAACCATGGAGCAAAGTGTTGCCATCGGCTGAGAGGGCACTGCAGGAAAAGGGTTACGGCACCCCATATCTGCGGAACAGTCGACAATAGTTGCTTCTCTTTGAGCATGGTGTCGAGTCGCTGGATGTAATACTGTATGTAGATTTGTTTGTCCGCCGTCGATTGCAGAATCTCAGTCACCTTGCGCATCACAGGCTTCTCATTTCGCAACGAAAAGCCAGCTTCGGTGCCCAAGAGAATTGCTTGTGCTCGTATGTCTCGAATCGGAGTGAGCATATCGTTAAACAGATCCTCTAACCAGGCTGTGTGGACAGCCATATGGTTTCGAGATTGCTTCACAAGACGCTTGTAAATCTGGATCCGGCCCATGATGATGCTCTTGCCAGTCAAATGGTCCTCGATGTTGTGCAACGATGTGACCAACCGACCGACTCGATCCGAAGACATGACTTTTGGGGAGAAGGACTGGAAAGCAACGACTTGCATAAGGTGGCGTGCCAGGTCCTTCGAGATTCCTGGGTCGGAGAAGCATCGAATGCAGTGGTCGACTATGAAGACGCCGAAGTCGGATGTGAGAGAAGAAGCAATGGCTGGAAAATGCAAAAAGGTCGTTAGAAGACTGAGGGCTTGGAATATGAGAGAAGAGTCAGGAGACCCCTCGTCCCTTTTGGACTTGACATCTCGTTCGATAAAGGACATGAATAGGCTCATCTTGTCTTGTAGGGCAACCCGGTCCGGTAGATTGTTGGAAGCCTTGAGAGCGCGAGAGAGCATCATGTATGCATCGAGTCGCGAGTCCCGGTCGGAACCGGCAAGTTGTTTTATTGTCGAGTCCAACATCTCGGCGATACTGATCTGGCTTGACAGGCCGTTGGGATGACTATTAAGAGGTGAAGCAAGAGGGTTGGGAGACGGTGACGGCTTCAGGATACCCTTGACGGGCCTCGACGAAGCAGAGGGAGTCGTAATCGGTGAGGATCTGAAGAACTTGGACGCTTCTCGATATTCGGTATGGCTTGACCATTCAACCTTCTTCCTTATCCGCCTCGAGCTTGAATTGGTGTTGGTTGCCCCGTTCGACGATGGTGTATTAGCGCCTGGTGGTGTCTGGAGACTCAGTCTTGGGTCGATGGGACGACCGACTGAAGCCTTCATAGGAGCTAGTTTATCTGGGAAAGATTCTCGAGGAGGAGTTGGCGGTCGAGGAGAAAGTTCGTCGAGGGTGGTGGCCTTGGCTGAAGATGCCATGGCTGCCAGGCAGCGTTGGCGATCTAGACAGCAGTGAATTGGCCGAGAAACCACTAAAAACGCATGCGAATATTTTAAGGAGATTAAGATTGGAACAGTGAATTTCGCTGTGACTAAAAAAGCGCAGGCATTTGCATATAATTGCAAAGAGAACGAGCGAGTCGGTGTAAGTTACGATGGTGATGTTGCGTAGCGTTGAGGCCTTTGAGTAACTACCTGAGCCTGGAGTATCCGTCGTAAGTAAATGCTTGACCGATCCGCGCTTCAGTTCTCCGGGCCAACGCGCGAAGCGAACGCGATTTTTAATGAGCAACCGCGAATCAATTAAAGATTCAGGGACCGTGCGCGTCATTCGCCCCAGAATCAGCCCCTGTCTGTCGCCTAAGGCGTCTTTCATGGCTGAGGTAAGCGAAACTTTACGTGCTTCCACTACAGATCGGTTGGAGGCGCTATCGATAAAGTTCTAGGTACATTGGACCCTGTTGTGTCAGTGAAGCACATGCCAGAACAGGTGGTCGAGAGAAAGCTACTTCACCTCAATATTGCCCTTCTCATTAATATAGTTCAAAAGTCATATAAGTAAAAGTGAAAGAGCAAACGTTGATATCTTGTCACGCTCTGAACACTTGTCAAATTCTCCAAAATTACCTCTAGTACTCCTGTCCTTGTTAAAATGCAATACCACGTTTTGTTAGTGGCTGATGTCCAGTTTCCATCATCTCCTCCCCGCTCATCTTAAACCATCACACCTGCCATCAACATCCACTCATCATCGAATCATCATGGCCTCTCAGCAACCTTTTGGTATACCCACAGGTGCTCAGAAGCTCAAAAATGTCACGGAACTGGTCGAAGCCCTCACCGCAGATCTCGAAGAAGATCAGTTTCTTCCAGATGGTGAGTCTCCTGACTGGAGAGGATATCAAGGCATCATCTCCTAATGCTATAGATAGGCCGCACTACGGCTCTAGAACAGCTTAAACTCTACAGTCGAGACCCCAGGAATGCCGAACCTCTCTACTCGGAAGCAGTCAGCGCACCCCTGTCCTCGTATGAGGGCCAAATGATTTTTGAAGTATTGCTAACTGTTGTCAGGGCTTCACTATGCTTCTCCGCCATGCCTATGACAAACCATCTACCAAATCAGCTCAGGCTGCACTCAAGGTCATAGCTAATTTGATGCTTCTCGTCCCTCCTACGCGGCATATGTTTGTCGACAAGGGTTTTGCTCCCAAAGCCATCAAAGAACTAGACACTGGAAATTATGATGATGAATTTCTCAACTCTCGTATCTTATTCCTTACCACATATGAAACAAAGATCGACCTGAAGGAGCTCCTCGATAAAGAGAAACTGGCCGATCGCATTATCAACAACCTAGCAAAGCATGCAAAGGAAATGGATACCAAGGCCAAGGCCAAGGCTGACCCCATGCAAGACATGGCGCTCACCGAAACCGTAAAGCTCTTGTTCAACGTTACACACTGGTGTAACGAGAAAGCCTCACTTTTCAATCCTGCAGTCCCTCATCTGATTGCTGTACTGTTCAAGACTGAAGTTTCCCAAACGAAGCCGCTTGACCCTCCAGTCGGATTCATCATCAACGGTTTCCTCAATCTTGACTTGAGTACCCCAGAGAGCCAGGAGGCTCTTCACCCCAAGAGCGATCCCGAGAGGGTAGTATCTAGGGTGATCGACATCCTAGATGTCTCCATTCGAACCATTCCCGACGAGCAGAAGGATCCTTCCGTTGTGCCAGTCCTTGGCCTCGTAAGATCGATATACGAACATGCGCCTGATTCTACCAAAGTGTTCATTCGTGAAAAGCTCTTGCCGACGGAAGAAGAGAGAAATGAAGTTATCGGCAAAGGTCACAGCTTACCGGCCAAACTACTTCAAAACAGCAATAACCCCATGGCCCCGTCATTGCGCAATCTGATCCAACATGTGCTCTTCGAGCTGTCTGATAAGGATGCCTCTAAGTTTGTCGAGAACGTGGGTTATGGCTTTGCATCTGGCTTTCTTTTCCAAAACAACATCCCGATTCCGGCCTCGGTTGCAGAGGCTCACGGCACTGGTGATGCGGCTAAGGCGCAGAAGCCAGTCAACCCAATCACTGGCCAATTTGTTGATGCTGAAAAGCCAGTTGGCGAGCCTGAGATGACGGAGGAGGAGAAGGAACGAGAGGCCGAAAGACTCTTTGTATTGTTTGAACGGTAAGTTCACACTTTCCATCTGTCCACTCGTTGCACAGAGCTAACAGGCATTTAGATTGAAAAAGACAGGCATCATTGACGTTCAAAACCCGGTGGAGGCCGCCGTGAGGGAGGGTCGTTTCAGAGAACTCAAAGATGATGAGGTGGAAGAGATTGAGTAGTGGATTCTAGTCGCTCTCTCCTCTCATTATCATCAGCATGTTGAGGTCTGGCGCTCTGATCATCCGGCAGTGATCTCATATCAAGCGGAACCTTGCAGTTCGGCTGGAACAAAAGAAAGCATAGATACATACACTAGTTTAGGAGCCTTCGTTAGCAAATGCTTAGTCGTATTGTAACAGAGAGTATGACCGACGTATTAAATTAAGTGGTCGATAAGGTAGCCGACTATTCTTCATTCCAAAGTGTAATATATTCACCGATCACTGACTTGCATCCAACATTAACAAGTCCTCCACAGACGCTCCCGTTTTCCAAATCAATTCGTTCAGCAACCCAGAAGAAGTACTTACATTATCTCTCCCACCTTCGAGGTACCTTACTTTCATATCTTCCAGGTCGCACATCCTCTGATTACCCACCACTTCCGCTCCTAGCAGCTGCTGTCACTGCCAACGCCTCGGGTTATTTGTTTCTTTTCTTTTCTCAAAAAATCGGCTCTTCGCGTTTTCTTTGCACCGTGCAGGTCAGCCAAGTATCAACTACCTATTATTTACGAGCACAAGTAAATCTCATCTCGCCCTTTTCTCAAACTTTGCTGATTTAATGTAAAGTCAAAGTCAGCGTCGCCCAACACCACCCGCAACACAATTTTCCTACAACGAGCATACTCACACAAGGACCTGAGTTTTAAAGAAGACCCCATTGTCGTGAAGGCAAATCTTTTCACTTCTCTTTCGCTCTTCAGCAAGATGCCTCCCTCCAAGCCTAAGCCCACTATTTTCTATGCACGCGATAAGTCCCCCGTGGAGGAGCACAACGGGTAAGTTTTTATTCTCCTTACTTGGCTTATTAGCTTCACATACTTATATGAGAAACTTAGGCCTCGTGCTAGTATTGAGGGAGGTGGTGGAGAAGAGGAAGAAGAGCTCATGCTAAAGGTTGTGTCTGACCTCGTGGACTATGCGAGTTCCGAAGAGGAAGTCGATTCCCCGGAGCCTGAGAAAACCGAACAAGACTCCAAGCCTGAGAAGCGCTCTCTATCTCCGGAAGACGAGAGCGATGAAGAAGCCGCAGATACAAAAGCAGCCCCTCCAGCCAAGCGCCAGCGTCGCTCGCGAGTGAACGGTTCAGTTCCACCTCGTCGCTCTAAGCGCGTCGCATCCACTGCTAGCCTTCAGGATGAGAATACCTCTGGCGTGGAGAAGGAGAAGCCCGTTGCTGGAAAGAGGGGTCGTGGCCGTCCTCCAACCAAGAACAGAATGACCAAGACTGAAACAGTGTCAGAGAGAAGCCCTCCTGCCAGAAAGAAGGCTACGCGTGGCGAGTCTACTACCGAATGGGAGGTTGAGAAAATCATTGATTCTCAGGTTGACGCTGATTCCAAGGTACTCTACTACCAGGTCAAGTGGAAGGGGTTTGGCAACAAGGAGAACACCTGGGAGCCAAAGAAGAATCTGGGTAAATGCGGCAAGCTCATCAAGGATTTTGAGAAGGGTCAGTGAGCGGATTATGATGCCATGAGCTATGAACTCTTTGACAGCGATGGAGATATTTGGGAATGAATCAAATCACTGGGCTGTGGTCATGGGGATAACTGCTAGAGGTATCCAGCAAGGAAAGGTCTGGCGACAATTGCTTTATGGGAAATGAACCACTGGATTCAAAGCGAGTGAATGGGAGCAGTATCTAGATGGGATTATCTCGATGACTACTTCGAGGCAACGTTATCAAAGCCTTTTCAGCATAGGAGAACGAAACTCCAGTACTCTTTATCGAGACTGGGTCATCTCCATTGGGGGGATAAGTAAAAATACAGCTCTTCTTTGTGCCGAATGTGCTGATTGCCACAATTCTGATTGTCAAAATACATCGTGTTTTGTTTAATTTTGCCCGCGATGTAACGGTTCACCATCCGAGGCATATCTTCATTCTTCCCTGAACAGAGTTGACAAACCCAAGGCCGCTCCAGCAAGAGGAAGCAGACTCCGGACCAAGTTCAAAACTCCCCATCTTCCGATCAATGTAGCCACGTCCTCCTGAGAAGCATCCAAGGTTCCAGCAGACGCCTTGAACAAAAGGTCATTGGTTGAACTCATGAAGACAATGGTGAAAGGAACGATGGAGACCGTTAAAGCAGCGCTGGCAGCCAGCCCCTTCCAGTTACGGCCCTGCTGGTGAGCTGTATATGCGGCGTATAGATAGGCGATTGCTGTTGTTCCAGCAAATTTGGGCATGAGAGCGAATCCACGGTTGAAGAGAACCTGCCAAACGGAAACACCAGGAGCTCCTGATAGTTGCAGAGCAGCAGGGATGCCAGCAAGTGAAAGGGAGGCAATGAAACCTAGAATATCAGTTGGACTCTTATGATCTGACTTTATAGCCTTACCAGATGCATAGGCTGAGCCAGTGATGCCTGTGGCAGTGGCCACGAGAGAAGGAAGGGGGATAGAGATGGGCATTCTGAATATAATCAGATTGATCTAAGCTTCGTATAATATTTCAATTATCTTGAAAATCTACAGTAAGTTGATGCTGCTGCTGAAGTCATCGTCATATATATCGGCGAAAAGTGGAACCCCGTCCGGACCCGGAAACTCTCACGGACTTCCTGAGATGTCCGGCCAACGTCCTTGTCCGTTTCTCGCATCGTTATTGATCAAAGACCCTCGTTCTCGGATCAGGCCGATTGGTCAAAGGGTCTTTGTTATATCCTTATTCGGTTGTCGGCCTCGCTTGGCTAAACGACAACCTTTCCCTTGCGAGCAACAAACCCATGTAGGGTCAGTTCTTGAGACTCGTCTTTGGTATCAACTTCTGCCCACGACGACACGAATTCGAAACCAGCCTTTTTGAGGACGTTTTGACTTGGGGCATTCTCGCTCAACGTGATGGCTGAGATGCATTCCTGTTTGACATCGCCGTCGTCTTTGAGAATTGTGTTCTTGTCCACTGTGAGCTCAACTTCGTTCCTCGGGAGCGACCACCACTCATCGAGGTAGACTTTCATAAACTCAGACGCATAGCCTTTGCCCCAATGCTCTTTCAGAAAGATATATCCCAGAGCTGGCCAGCCTAGTTCACTCGACCATACGCAGGTGCCTCCTAATCCGACGGGCTCACCAGTCTCGATGAGGGAGATGACCCAATCGTACCTCTCGCCGTCCTTTGGAGGTAGGCGAAGACTCAGGCTCTTTTCAGTTTGTTCCATTTCAATGTCGGGGCCTCCTTGCGACGACCATTTCATGCCATCTGGACATGTGCGAAGAACTCGAAGAAAACCGAAATCACCCTCAGTCATATGACGCATCGATAGACGTTCTGATCGAAAAGTGCTTCGTTCATGATTTGGTGGAAGTGGATAAACGGGAAGTGTTGTCTTGACTGTTACAAAGTCAATGGATGAAGGTTTTGTGGACTCCATGGTGGAAGTTTAGGGTAAGTAGAGTTGAATGCGGAATTGACTATCGTGAACACAAGTTTCTGATCGTGAGAAGTTCTGGACCTCACTCATATATCTTCTATCTCCGTTATCACTCCGAGATCGTCTATACCAAGTCGCAGAATTGTGAGTCATGGGCTATCACGACCATTAACTAGGTATGAGTCGAATCAGCATGCTTCAATTTCAGGTGTGACAAAAGTTCCCCTCGGCACCCGACAACTGGGGCAATATTCGCGTTCACTTCGTATGTCTTCAAAGGCGTTAGATGGCTTGAAACTGGAGTTAAGGGGCGAAAACTCACTAATCAAAAACCTGTTAGAATCTCCCTACTCTACAAGAACTTCATCTAAACAATTTCTCAGGTTCAAAAGTCACAGTTTCCAGCCATCCTTAAGCTTGTTCACCACGCCTGGCCTAACTAAAACCGTTGAGAGTCAATAAGGCTAGCCTCACTCAGCCTTAGGATTGCAATGCATGCTAATTTATGCAGGGAACTTGATACCTAGGCAGGCAGAAAGGGAATCAGGGTCGAGACAAGAGACAAATGTCACCCAAAAAATCTAAACGTCACTAAAGTCGAATCGGGTGGGGCCGCACCGGCACTTCCATCCTCTCCAGCGTCTGTGTCTGTGTCTGGTACAGATTATCAATTCTTGCTGTTATTTGCTTACCTACTTGTCTTGCTTTAAGTTAAACTTCAACGCATATAACAACTTCAACGCCATGATTATTTGAGACAGTCACTGCGGCAGCCTCGGATCAAGTTATCAACATACCTGATTATTCTCATCTTCTTGGCCATAATCGCCCAGAATGAGCTCCCGCGAAGGCCGTGCGGCCAAAGTACTGAGCTGTTCAAACTGTCGCACACGCAAAATCAAATGCGACAAGATACAACCATTATGCGGCCAATGTTCTCGCTTTGGCCTCGACTGTGTCTTTCCCTCAAGAAAGCCGACAAGACGTGCCCCAAGACCTCGCCAGAGTGAATTACTCGATAGGATCAGTCGTCTTGAGAGCATCGTCAACCAGGCTGACCCCGCCAAACTGAAGCAATTGGATGAGGGGGACATCCAGAGTCTCCAGGGCTCAACTTCACTTTCGGCAACGCTGGATAACCGCTGTGATGAGTCTCAAGCAGTAGCAGCGCAGGCTGCTAATTTAGAGACTGGCGAGCAGTATCTCGGTTCTGGCTTTTGGGGAAACTTATGTGCTGAGGTTGAGGGAATTCGACAAGCGTTGAATCAACCTTCTGAAGATAGTGATGATGAAGAAGAGGGCGAAAGCCCAGAGTCAGTAGAGATGGCGTCCACGGGTCCTTCGGGCTTCTTACTTGGAAACTCTGACTACACATCGAGGCAACCACTGATACACCCTCCACCGAACATGATGATACGGCTCTGGACGATTTACACCCGCAATGTCGATCCTCTCATGAAGATTCTGCATCGACCAACCATCAGCAAGCACTTTCAGGCTTATATCGAGTCACCGACGACACATACTTTCACTCCCGAGATCAACGCTGTCTTGTTCGCTATCTACTTCTGTGCAGCAGTTTGCCTGACACCGGAATCGTGTTTGAAGCAGTTGGGCGAAAACAAGGAAATTCTCACAAGGCGATACCGTGTTGCGGTTGAGCGAGCACTCGCCGAGGCAGACTACCTCAGTACAACCAAGATTGAACCTCTCCAAGCTCTGACGCTATATACAAGCATGATGCGTGTGCACTTACACGACCGGACGTCTTGGGTTCTTACATCACTTATTATTCGCATTGCCCAAGGGCTCAAACTCCATCGCGATGCTGATGGTCACCGTTTTACACCATTTGTTGCCGAGATGAGGCGCCGTTTATGGCATTTCATCGTTGTTCTCGATATCCGCGGCTCAGAGGACCGTGGGTCTGATGCAACACTTGACCGGTCAGGCTTTGATACAGCAGAGCCCACACCGATTGACGATGACGATTTTGGGCCTAATTCTATAGGTCCCTTGATACCCAAAACAACGCCCGCCGAGAACGTTGTCTGTTTATGTACCGCTATGTGCTCAGGCATCTTCGGCTTCATATCACACCCACGTTACAGCCCTAGAGGCGAGCCAGAGCATTTCTTATATACCGAAGAGGAGCTTATTTCCCATATCCGTCAGCTGGAAACCAGCTTCATTCACACTGCCAAACCTTCACATCTCCCCTCCATCTACGCCTCTGAAATTGCTCGAATCGTCATTCTAAAGCTTTGGCTCAATATTCAATATCCTTTCACCGGCGGACCAGCTCCCGACCGACCTCGAGTATCAAAGGAGACCATGTTGCGTACTGCTATCTCGATCATTGAGCTGCGAGAGCGTATGACGAAGAATCAGTGGGAAGATCGGTTTGCCTGGTGGACAGACACCTATGTGCAATGGCATCCTCTCGCAGTTGCATTAGCAGAACTCTGCGTGCAGACCGAGGGTCAACTGGTAGACAAAGCCTGGGTGGTTGTGGAGAGAACATTTCCATCATCACGAGAGCACATTGCAGACACGGCGAAAGGTTCACTTTGGCGACCTATCAAGAAACTGCTCAAGAAAGCGAGAGCGGCGAGAACCGAAGCGTTGCTTAAGCGGATGGATTTCAACTCCGGCATGAACCTGGATCCTGCAACGTCTTTCATACCTCCTGCGATGAACAATATGGCTCAACCATTGCAGTATGATACAAACCAGCAGATGAATATTCCTTCGTCGGGGCCAGGTTTGACATCACAGTACGACACGAGCAGTATGGATCCTTCAATACTGTTCGATCCACCAGAAACATTGAATCTCGACTTTGGTATGGGCTTGGAGCAAGGCGTGCCTATGGAATGGACATATTGGACAGAATTTTTCAACGATACACAGATAGAAACATCTCCAGGGAGCGGGACAGGCGAGTCGTCATGATAGTTCACAATCGGTAGTCTTTGTTACTTTTTAAATCCCAATCAATTGTTTTCACACCAGGCAGCATCCGCATGCTCAGAATTTTTGGTTCATTCAATGCCCGTTTTATTGAGCAAAGTCAGTTGATATTTCCATGATCCGTTGTAACACCCGCAGAGCCCCAACCGTCCTCTAAACCGAAATCATTCTAAGCGAAAGTGGAAGGTCGCTTCGCGCTGAAGAGCTTCTTGGTGTTCTCCTTGGTGATGCGGTGGGGGAGAGGGAAGCTGAGTCCCTTCTGGGTCAGCTGGCGGATGTAGGGTCGCTTGATGTCCTCGGTCTTCTCAATCTCGACGACGCGGAGGATCTGGATTCTGTTAGTGTCTGTGATGAATAGCTGATCGACAGAGTTCGACGTACGTGGATGGACCTGAAACGAGCACGGTGGCGGGCAGCCATGTCGGAGTAGAGAGACTCGACAGCATCTGTTCGGGACAGCTCACGGTACTCCTTGTACATGTTGTGCGTGCCGGAACGAGAGTCATATCGGATCCAGATACCGAAGTTCTTGACCTTGAGGGGGTGCTTCTCGTTGATCTGATTATCCCAGTTAGCCTGGCCCGTTGTTTTCCTTCATTGGATTCTTGCTACGTACAGTCTTGACGCTGACGATCTCACCAGTGGCCTTCTTGACCTTCTTGAGACCGCGCAAGAAGTACCAGTATCGGGACTTGGCGACCGTCTCGTTGGGAGCGAAGATGGTCATGCGGTAGAGGGCGGGGGTAGGGTTAGCCTCGGTGGGCAAGTGGCGCCCGATGACCTCGTATTCCTGAAGACGGCCTGGAGACATTGTCAGTATTGGACGTTGCAGGTGATGCTTGTTTGTTGTTGTGATGCCGCGAGCCGAGCCGGAGGACCAAATCGAAATTTCGAGTGCGTGGTGCTAGTGCCAAGTCGAGGTGTTGACGAAATTCGAAATTGGCTCTTCAATCAAAATTTTGACAAGCCCCGCTTCAGCAAACATATCGAAAGTTGTGTGAGCAGTTGTTGATGTTCTGTAGCAGCTGAGAGGTGATCCTTCGTCCTTCTATCCCCTTCGTAACA